TCACCACGTATGAATTTGGTAGAATTACCTTTGCTGTCAGTGGAACCTGCATTAACAAACTTGCCACGCTTCTTGTCCCATTTCATTCCTTGTTTCTGCTGGAACTCGGTACCCTCTCCATTTAAATCAAATGTAGCGCCACGAGCAGCGTCAGCAAAAAAGCCATTGCCTCCGGAAATACTGTACGCTCTATCTTCAGCAACATTAGCACTAGCATAGTGAGACATGTAAAATTGAGGATCTCTAAAAGAAGTTTTAGATTTTTTAGTGGAAGAAGCATTTTTGAAAGACTCAAGGAGCTCGTTTTCAGAGACAGATTCCTCACTGCGCTTGCGCTTTTGAGGTTTTGCCTCGGTCTCGCTGTCACTTCCATTATCATCATCATCATGATTTTGGAACACCTCAGCATCTTCAGTATGTAACAGACCTGCCTCTCTCTCCTTCTTCTGAATTTCCTTGCGCTCAGCAGCACGTTTCTGGATTGGAGCAATTTGTCTTCTTCTTCTTTCCATGAGCTCAGCTGCAGAGCCATATGAAGTCTTTTTGAACTCAAATACTGTCTCTTTTTTTTTTCTGATGGCAAGCTTGTTGAGAAATGCTTCGCGCTCGGTCTCTAGCGACGGACCAAACATCAAATGCTGATTATCCCACTTGGCATCAATGAGAATTTCCTTGCTTCTTTTAGCCGACTCATGCGAAGCAATGCCACGGGACTTAAGGTAAAGTTTCTCTCCCTTTTTCGCAACATCCCGCAATTGTTGAATATCATAGTTTTCCTTGACAACAGCTTCGATCTCTTCAATTTGATGTTCCAACCCCTCGCGAGGTAAAGAGCCCAAAACCAGACGATTAGTGTAACTGACCTCAGTGTTTGACTTGTTCTGACTAGTAAACAGTAGCTTGCGACCCAAAAAAAGTTCCAGATCAAGCAGGTAAGGAAGATCCTGTTCTTTAACAATGGTGTAGGCCCAACCACGGCGACCAGCACGGGCAGTTCTACCAACACGATGGATGAAAACTTTAGGACTAGAGGGAAGACTGTAGTTGATGACATTAGCAAGAACAGGGATATCAATACCACGTGCAGCAACATCAGTAACCACCAAAATATTAGTTTTGCCTGCTCTAAATCTATATAGTTGATCCTTTCTGGCTGTTTGGTCAAGCGTACCATAAATGTAAGAAACAGTGTAACCGAGAGATTTCAACAAGTTGCAGATGTATTCGACATGATGCTTGGTGGGTGTAAAAACAATGGTGGAATAGGGAGAAGGCAATTCAGTGGCTGAAGGTAGCTTGATCTGTTTGTGGTTGGGCTTGATCTGCTTTTTCTTCTTCTTTTTGTCTTCACCGTTGTCATTTTCCTCTTCATCGTCAGAAGGAAGCTGAAGATCAAGTTTTTTTAGATATGCAAGCTCTTCCTCAGTGGCTGTAGGCATTTTGATTACACTTTGTAAAATGTATGCAAGAGCAGCCTCACGCTCTCCATCCTTAATTGAAAAATAAGCCATCTCTAACTGATCAGAGATCTTGGTTTCCGCATCTAGACGGACAAGAGTTGGATCTTGCAAACCGGCTTTGGCAAAATCTACTAAAGAACGAGGTAATGTAGCAGAAAACAGCAGGGTTTGTCTATTTGGAGAAAGAGATCCAAGGATTTCGTTTAGTTGTTCCGAAAAACCAAGTTCGAAAAGTCTATCAGCTTCGTCAAAAACAATATATTCGATAGAAGACAAATCGAGTTGCATTTCGACCTTCAAATGAAGAAAGCGACCAGGTGTAGCAATTATAATATCGGGGTTGCTCATGATCATACCAAATTGATCCTCCAAACTGTCACCACCAACTAGAAGCACGGATCTCAGATCAGTTCCTCTACTAAAGTCTTTGACAACTTTCATGGTCTGTAGTGCAAGCTCTCTACTCGGAGAAAGAATGACAGCTCTAGCACCAACCTTGGCCGAATGTACTTTGAGTCGCTCAATCATGGGTAAAACAAAAGCGGCTGTTTTACCACTACCGGTTCTGGCCATACCAACAACATCTTTGCCCTCCAAAACAAGAGGAATAGTTTTTCTTTGAATAGGAGTAGGCGTTCTAAAACCTTTTTTAGAAATATTCACACAGATGTATTTTGATAAACCCATACCAGCAAAGCTACCAGCACTCTTCTTTTTTCCAGTAGCAGCAGCAGCTTCTTGTTGCAAAGAAGCAAAAAAGTCCTCGTCAGAAATCGGTTTCCGTCTTCTTCCCTTCAGATCTTCGGCATCTTCATTAACTTCTTCAACATGTTCAAGTTTTGGAAATGATAATAGTGCACTCTGAGTTTTTTCAACTTTTTTCTCACTGGTGTTGTCATCTTCGCTGTCAGTGTCTTCATCGCTGTCTTCATCGTCTGAAGAGAGGATTTCGTCTTGAATAGCTTCATTGTCACTGGCAGAAGAACCAGTATCATCATCACTTGACAGCTCAGTTTTTAATGTTAAGGCATTGGAAATATCGAAATGCTCCTCTTCGCTATCAGAAGACATTTTAAATGGCGTGCAATTAAAGTAACTGGTGGTTGATATCAGAAAAAACCGCGACGAGGGATGAAGAACTATTGACTGAAGAAAAAAAAAAAAATTTTACTCCCAATATTCAAATCTTGTCACGTGAAATTTCAGCCGCACATTGATTAACATTGAAATTTCAGGCGTCACGAATTCAATATGGACAATCTAGTTGCCATAGTTTACTCAATAATAATCACTCATGAATATGAATTGTTCAGTTTTATTGAATTTTTTGTTTGAAAATTTTTTCAGTTGGTTCAAAAGTGGTGTGTTTCTCTTTTTTTTTTTTTGTTTTAGGCTATTTCATGTTCATGTTGAGAAGTGTAATCTGTAACTTGCAGTTGGTTGGACCTGAGGCCAAATGAATAATTTAAGAAAAGCTGAATTCACAAAAAATATGTCAGCATATGTGTCATAAGTTTTATAATATTGTTAATTATAAAGATCGCAAGACGTCAATGATAATAGGTCGTTGTGTATTTTGAATAACCTTAAAACTTTTATGTCACTTAAATTCATACTACATGTTCAAATTTACCGTGTTGGAACACGTCGATCAAAAACAAAATTTTTGACAATAAGATTTAACCGCACAACAATCTCGAAAAAACTTTGAAAACCAAAAAAAAAAAAAAAGGGTTCTATAAGAAAGCAAACGACAGTGTCAAAATCAAAAAAATACTTTGCATAAAAAACCTAACTTGTTTCTGTCTACCGAATACAAAACAGAATTGCTACTAAGACGCCAATAATTATATCAAGCAAAATTACTGCTAACTTTCTTGATTTATCAAATCGCGGCTACTCAAATTCAGGCACAAACTACTTTCAGATGAGTTCATCTGTTGAGTTGTATCTTCCATTATAGACCTCTTATTTGAAAACTTTCCATTTAAGGGCTTAGCTATTTGATTTTAAATTTAAAAATGCTAGCCATACAAAATTGAAAATACAACTGGTTAGAACCTCACCGCGTAAATATTGACATCAAGCAAAAGGAAATCATGTTACCTTAAGCTTGGTAGAGAATAATACTTGGCTGTGGTTTTAAATTGCGCTGTCAGCGCATCTAGGAATAAACCAACAACAAATATTTTCTATTTTGCTAATATTGGTTACAATAGAAAGTAAAAATAGAGGTTTGTAGGATTAATCCTGTTTTCTATAGATGGAAAAACTGTTTATTGTCCTTACATCACATAGTTACCTAATTCAAATAATAATAATAATAACAAAGATATACAAAGAAGACATGGAATTCAAAAACATTTGTCTCTATGAGACTTTAAAATTAGCGTTCTCAGCGCGCTTTAGGTGTTTCAGGCATTCGATGGCGCCGAATTCTCCATGAAATAATACATGTGATAAGGGAAACCTGCGATACATAACACCTGCTGGAATGATAACAGAGATTGACACACAGTAAAACCTTAACAAGCTGCTCTAATCAAGCAAACCATCAGCAAAGAAGTTGCGGTAATGAGTTCAAGAACTTGACTACCGCTCCAAGACCCTTCTTGGTATCAAGCAGGACTCTTAGATCAAGTTCCGGGGAAACTTTACTTAAGAAGCTACGCTCCACAGGATGTAGAGGGCACTCCTTAAGAACATGTTCAACTGTTTCCAGCTGTCCACATTCGCAGTTATAATCTCTCTCAGTAATACACCTCGTTTGAAAATACTTTCCAATAGCACCATGACCCGTTCGCAGTTGGAATAACTTGCTGAAGGTATGGCGAGGCACAGTTCTCATAAATGGTTCCAGTGGGTTGGGGTACTTACTGTTATACAACTCTCGTTGAGTACAAGAGTAGTATTGTCGAAGCTCACCTAACTCATCATAGTCTTTCTGCCACTCAGCTCGTGATGTACAGCGCATAGTGCTTTT